CCCTGTGCCCTCACCCCAAAGAGCCTGTGCTCTTGCACACGGCGAGGAGGGGCCGTTTCTCAGTGAAGCTGTCAGTGTTGAGGGAACCTGCAGCCGGAGGGACAGAAAGGGGAACATTAACCACTGACCCACATAAAGAGGGACATTCATTAGCCACCCGCACATGAGGCCTGTTGTCTCTCTGCCAAAGCCACCCACCCACCAAACTTGAGCTTAAAAAACAGCTACCACAGCAGGAAGCGTGTTGATTGCATTACAAGAGATCTGTAATCAAAATTACGCCTTAAAAACATCCTCAAAAAAAAAAAAACGTTCCTGTCAACTTTGACATTCACACACCCTCACTTAGAAGAGAATAATGCCCTATTCCTCAGAGACTTATGGGGATCAAATGAAATTAAAATACCAGCATGCAAGACATTAAATGGAGACAGAGAACAGAAACGCCACTCAGTGCAACGTGTTGAATGCAAACCATTTCTCCTCCGACTCTAATGGAGAAAGCCTTCAAAGCTTTAGGAGGAGTCTTCTGTCTGACTGGCTTTAATTTCAGAGCTTCGGAGGAATTACAGAATGGCAAAAGGCCGGTAGGCATATTTTGGGTGGAGAAAACATGTCGCAGTGAGTTTACAGATCCCATACTTATCTAATTCTCTTGATTTAAAAGAGAAGGGGGAAAACTTCCATTCATGTCCGGATAGAAGATGATGTTAGCCTTTGTGGAGCTGTAATTTAGGCAGCCATGCCATGACACTAATTAGCTCCAGGAACGTACAGTCCGTGTGGGCGTGTGAGTGCAAATGTGTCATTCTCAAACCTTAACAGTTTAAAGGGCCTCTCCTCCGTCTTCACTTCTCTGTCATCAGACATTGCGACTGGTCACGATATCCAATCATAATGCAAATACGACGGGCCTCTAAAAGACAACAGCTGCCTTCTATTTGAAAGAACAATTAAGGTGCAGAAAACCACCCCTTGCTCCTCTCCATCTGTAGATGTGCGTCTCAAAAACGGCTGGACTTTAAAACAAGTGGTTTTCATTTGTATTTTCCAGTGCCTGTTTTCAATCTATGCTGTGAAATATTGAGAGAATTGTTTTCTGGAAGACATAACAAATTTCCTGCATTTCAGTAAATAATACATTTATAGGACAGCTATTTACGAGTGCGCGCTCAGCAGTGGGGTAAATTTAAACGGAGAGGAAGCAATCGCAGATTTTTGGTCAGCTGTGGATATGACCGTCCGTAGCTGTCACCTGGAAATGAATCACTGCAGAAACAACAGCAGAAGTCAAAAACAGAACGGATGCGGAAAAAAAGTCAGTTTGCATTTTTAGAGAAAGCGGAACTTCCTCCTTTATTCTGGGAAAGACCTTGCATTATTAAAATTGACACCTATTTTCAGGACTTTCCAAATCCGCTCACCCAGCTAAAACAATTACTCTTTTTAAATCCCACTACAGTATGACACTGTTTGCGCCAAACAGATCACAATCAGTTTCCCCACTTGTAAAATTCATTTGATTTAGCTGAGAAGCATTCTCCTCATGTGTCGGCCGTCTGCTGCTTCTTATTATGACAATTCCCTTTTATCTGAATCCAGCCGGCGTTCAATGCCTTTATTGTGCATTGTTTAAATCTGCCGAAAGGACAGAACACAAATTCTGTGCATAAATGTCACACTACAATACGACTCAGTGCATTTCCTATTCCTTTTGTTTTTACATTTGAATATGGCCATGCCACTTATTTAGCGAGATTAAAAAAAATCTGACTATATAATATCTGAACAGATAATATCCTGTTTTAGTCATAACAGAAAGTGTGCAAAATCATCAAACAGGAAGAAAAAAAAATGTGAAGGGGACAGTTTGGCATAACATTAATATTTAATCATACCTAATCAGGCTGCGTGTATTTTAGTTTAGTAAGATGTAGCGTGCATTTTTTGTCAGACTATTCATTTTCGTCTTTTAACAAATGGAATGAGCACAGGCATGCGATGGCCAATGAGTGAGCCGTGATGAAAGAGAAGGAAAATCTCAGAAGTCTGCAGTTCCTCTCTGCCAGAGCGGCGGTAAAAGTCCAGGCAGCCAGCTGACAGCATGCCAACATAATTGTGAAGGACTGATTTTAATATTATGAAGGGAAAACAGCGGGGCTCTGGCGAGCTCTCAGCGCTATTAAGAAACAGAAGGTAGTCTTTAATTTAAACATGATATATGGAATGGATATATATATATATATATATATATGGAAAAGCCAGTAAGGAAGAGAGACATGGAACTGTATAAATTGCCACATCTCGGTCTAGCTTGATTCGAAAAAGCATGTAACTGCTGAAAACTGATTTTACTTTCTGCAAATTTCTAGGCAAATAATAGTGGCAAACATGACATGTAAAATAACGTGCCGTTTATGTAACATATGACATGAAATACATTTAAGCGTAGCGGGAGATCATGCTCTGTCAACACATATTTCAATTTGGAGGTGGACGCTTGTTCTTGACAAGCTGAAAATTAAGATGTCACTAGAATGTAGAACTTATAATAATATTTCAGAGCAGCAGTTTTACTTGCAGTAATGAAAAGTCTTCTAGCAGGGGTTATAAGCCTAAGATGGAGCTTAGGTCTATTCTAGAAAGGAGTTTGGGGTGGGGGGACAATGCTAAATGCAAAAAATTTTAATGCAACCGAATTTTTGTGCCTTCTTAGGATGCCAAAGTAAAAAAAAAAAAAAGAAACTGTCTTGCTGTTCAGTCTACACTACCATTCAAAAGTTTGGGATCTGTAAGTTTAGGTTTTTGTGTGTGTGTGTTTCAAAGAGGTTTCTTATGTTACCTAATGCTGCATTTATTTAATCAGAAATACAGTAAAACAGTAATATTATGAAATATTGCAATGTAAATGTAAAAGTTTTTTTTGTAAAATTGTGATGTAAATTAATGTAATTTATTATCATCCTGTGATGGCAAAGATGAATTTTCAGCAGCCAATACTCCAGTCTTCAGTGTCACATGATCATCCAGAAATTCAATTTTTTTCAAAATTGAAAAACAGCATAGTGCTTTTTAATATTTTTGTGGAAACCATTATACCTCCTTTTTTAGGATTCGTTGGCGAATTAAAAAATTCAACAGAACAGCTTTTATTTGAAACAAGTCTTTACTGTTACTTTTGATCAATGTAATGCATCCTTGGTTAATAAATGTATTAATTTCTTTAAAAAAAAAAAAAAACTTTTGAATGGTGATGTATGCCAAGTTTTGCATATTGCTAGGCCTATGCAGTATTAAATTTCTTTGTTAGATTTCAAAAACATTTTGTTGGGGCCACTATATCTTAAAAGTCATGCACTTATGTGGCTCTGCAGAATGAGCGAAGCCCAGGCTTTTGGGTTGTATGATACTCACTGATATGAGGAGCAGGCAGGATCCTAGCAGTTCGCACAGGTCCATGCCTCACCGAGAACAGCTCCTGTGCTTCCCCGTTCAGCTGCAGAGAGAAGAAACAAACAGACATGCTTAAAACACACCGGACAGTGATGTTACAGAGATAAACTCAGTTCAAAGACAGCAAAGAGTACTGTGGGTGTGAGAATGTGGTGATGCATAAACTCTGGAGGTGCATATGGGTTTGTACCAGAGCCACATCTCAAAGGTTATCAGGCCCGAGACAAAATGGCAACCTTATAATTACAGTACAGAGTTGACAGGGCTCCAGCATTTTATCTTGTATTTGTACATCAGCTAACACATTCCGTTTGAAAGTGTTGACACAGAGTGTCCAACTGAGAAACACCCATGATGAATGTCCTAAATACTGTGGCATCCCTTTTGGAACATTAACATAAAAGTATTCGACTGTGAATCACACAATGCTCTGTTTGGTCTGCAGCGGCTGTGATGTGGTTTGATAATGAGTCACCCAACAACTAGAAGATAAACATCAGGCATCTGTGGACAAACCAAAGTAAGACACTTCCAAAAAAAAAAAAAAACTGCTGTGTAATGTTATCTGGCTATCGTATATGAACGGAAAATGGATAAAAGCCGCAAAACTCAATTCTGTCATTGACAAACATGCTCTTAAATGACACTTGTGCTGTTTTCAAAGCTGCAGTCTGTTTTTTTCATAGTTAAATTATCCTATCCCAGCTTAATGGAACAGTTCACCCAAAAATGAAAATCATGGGTGAATCACTTACTCACCCTCATGTTGTTCCAAACCCTGTATGACTCTGTTTCTTCAGTGGAACACAAAAGGAGAAATTGTTAAGTATATACCAGTCATCGAGCACTGGGACTGTCAAGCTCCAAAATGACAAAAAGCTCCTCTGAAGTATTATAAAAGTGGTTAATATGACTCATACATTATATTCCATGTCTTCTAAAGCCATAAAATAATAGCTTTGTCTCAAAAACACACCAAAATTTAAGTCATTATTCAAACTTTGATAGTTCTTCTTGGGGAAGTAGCGATGAAAATTATTGATGTTCAGTTCACAAACTAGTCATTCTTTTGAACTGGATCTTTTCAAAGAGCTGATTTATAGGTTCATCATCTGAATGATTCAGTCACAATGATTCGGTTAACGAGGTCAGGTCACAGCTTCATATTCAATTACTTATCCAAAGACTTCAGTAGGTTGATTTCCCTGAAACGAGTAACATTGTGGAACTACTGTTTGTGCATTGTGCACCCGACACTGGCTCAACCAATGGTGCGAGTTTGGGGCGGGACTATCTGCTATGCAACCAATTAAAAGAAATTTTGAAATCTCAGATCCATTCAGAATTATTAAGTCTTTTCTTGCCTCTGCCAGTGTAGGAAAAATCTGAATTGCTGATCAACTCAATGCCATTCGGGGTCAAAAATGTGGTTGCGGGACGTCAAAGAACAATGGGGCACAAACAAAGAGAGATTTGTTCACACTGTAGGACAAATCAATGCAAACTGAGAGAAACAGACTTCACATGAAGGATGGAGGGTGAGCCAACAACTAAACCACAAAACAAAAGCTACCATGTATTCCATAAACGTGCTCCTCAAATAAACACCATTTCCGTGACTAACCGTCCCAGGCCGATATTTAGCACCTACAATGACCATTTGATTGAGCTGTAATAACAATACAGACCTAAATCAAATTAAGTCTTAATCACGTCATTCTCATACCGACACTGTAATAAGCTGGTGGAAATCCGGAGATCTGTGAAACCAAAGCTGGGGAGTGGCGTATCACATCGCAAGGGCGGAAATATCTTGATTGGCGCCCAAATCCTATGGCCTTTTATTCTAGCCTTTTGTTTTAAGAATTAAGCCCTGAATGTGCATCTCTATGCGTGTTAAATTACAGAAACGTCCTTTATCACATTACTGGGCATAATCCATGTGTCTTAAGCAGATAAGCCCACAGAGGATGATTGCTCTTTTGGACAATTAGTAGCTTTTTCGAATGCAGGATCAGAGTTGTGTTTTTATTAAAAGCGCTCGGTGCAGACTTTGTAGCTGCCAAGTGGGAGATTAATATGGCATCTACTACAGCACGGTACATTTGATGTGAGAGAGACAGAAGGAGAGAAAACAAGAGAGAGAGGTAATGCACGCGGGCCACCACAAAACAAAACCCCCGGCTGGCTAATGGGGCAAAGGAATAATGGAATTTAGCAGATTGTGAGGTTTACATTAATGCGACTGTCATTGTGCATTACCAGACTGCTCATCCTCGCTTTACACGGCTTTAGTGGTGGCATCCATCACCAACCTCTCAGCTATTACATTACTATTTATCACAGCAATATGCAAAATTGAGGCTTCTTTTTGTTTTTCCCTCTTGTTGTTTCTAATGTCATTCACATGGATAAAGTGTAGATGCTGGTCATGAAATGAGTTTTGTTAATCTCCAGCCACTCTGTGTGATGAATTCAGCGAATCGGAGCAATTCAACAGTATCTGGAGGTGAGAGAGACGGCAGCTCTGCCTGTATTCTTAGAAAGCGGAGAGCATCTGAAAGTAGAGTGGACAGAGGACAAAGCCCAGCATTAGACAAGAGAGACTGGTGACATCTCTGTCTCCTGGCCTTCTGGGCACTTGATATGATAGCAATAATACAGACATGAACTTCTGCTCTCCTTCCTAAAATACACTATAAAAACAAAGTCTGAAGTCCAATCCAAAAGACTTGGATTGCAAATATCAATTATGTTTCTGTGAAGGGAATTTAAATGTTTCATCTAAAAAAAAAAGACCATAATAAATCCTATCCAATATTCCAATGATTTAATGCATTTTATATTTAACAAAAAAAGTATCAGTACCAACTGAGACATACTCAAAATGTTTGAAAATAGTATTTAAGTAAAGTTTAAAAATAAAAAATAATAATACTAATGCAAAACTGACTAAGTTGATTTTTGGCTAATACAATAATATCTAAATGCCATAATATCTTCTGATAATTATATTAAGCCAGTACGAATAAGCAGATATCTAATTTTAATGTTATGGCAAATAACTTATAAATGGCCTCTATTAAAATGTATTTTATTTATACTATTTTCTAAAATAGAAAATATAAATTCAAAATAAAGCTAAATAAATCACTAAAAACTAAACATTACAGTATAATGTGCAGTATGAAAAACATTTTGAGATTTGCTAAAGTTATGTTTAATAGCGCTATGCAATTGAATCAGTTGTTTCTTGCTTAATATACAGATAAAAGTGTTTGCTTAATGAATACAATGTACAATATAAAGTGATTTTAAAGACTTACTTTAAGTGCGCAAGTGATGACAAAGATAATCTAAATGTAAAAAATAATCAAAATAAGAATGAACAATGAAATGCTCAATATCAACTGATGCCGTAATTTTTAAATTAAATAGTAAATAATAATATCATGCAAATTTTGTGCATCCCTTATCATTTAATCCCTCCTTAAACATGCAATTTCTGCAGCACTATCCTCACCACAGATTTCTCAAACACCCGTCTCTACACATTGGAATCATGAAGTGCATTAGGCTGCTTTAATGATAACAGCAAAGCAGACACCTTCAGTGTACTGCATGTCATCCCTCCACTCCAACACCACTTCAATTAGCCCTGTCTAATCTAACTGCTATCTCCTGCCAGCCAGCAACACCTCCATCAAAGATTCTGCTCCACCAAGATGCTAATGCACAGGAATGCAGAAATGTACTACAGCTAGTGCCACTCCTGCTCCTCCCTTCAACGCCATTACAGAAGGTGTCGGCTCAGCAACTGTCACAAACACTTTGCAGGCAACTTATAGCCAGACACTGTGACGCTTTCAACACTTTCACAAAAAGTGTGAGATGTTGTGTCTGTAATGATGCTTCCAAATTCACGTCATAAGGAAGTGCAAAGCTTTCCTAAAGTGATAACTGTCAGGACTTTCATAATTATCTAAAATAAAGGCTTAGTCAGGGTGACAAATCACATAATATGACCGATATCTTGATCTCTATTACCATATGACTGAGACAGCCAAGTCTGAGAAACCTTTTGAATTGAAATTGACATTTTCACTACTTTACTGGGGAAGCGATATCATATTTAGTTACCATTATTTTTTTACATTTGACATGATTCAGAGCTTAACATGCATCTTGACATAATTTCACCCAACTTCAATACTAAAATCTGTATTCCAGGACACAGCCTTGCCTTTGTCTATGGCGACACCAAGTGGTGAAAAAGAGTCACAGCATAACACAGCAACTGAGCAATATCAAACACAATTTTGAGGTCGTTTGTGAGTCATATTTGACTAAATATTGATTTTAAATACAAAACTGGAATAAAAAATGACAAATTCCCGTATTCATTTTCAAAATAAAGGACAATAAATGCAGTATACACCAGATAGTATGTAGTAGGCAGTACAACAGTATTGATTTCACTGCTGAGCTTCGCTGTCTACACCTTATTGTCACCAAAATTAATGATTTCCAGTTGCTTTGTCAATGACATACAGAAAGAGTGGTCTAGAGAAAAACATGCTGGCTGCATCCAAAAATGCTAAGTAGTGTAATTTGCAACCATTATAAAATATGTTCTATATAGTATGAATGTGTGTTATATGAAAGCATTGCAGAATATTTGTCATGTTGTCATTGTCATGTGACCTACAGCATTGGTTGCATCACTTCACTGCCATTCACAACTTCTCTTCAGTAGCCTCATGGGATAGTACAGTGTCCACTGGCTGTGCATGTCAGAATCTCACCAGAAGTAGTAGTTTATCCAAATAATTTTTGCCTACTCTTTTATGAATACTGTGAATTTGGACATACTACTCTTTTCACATTCTATTTTTAGCCTACTACATAGTCAGCAAGTATGCATATTCAGAAGCAGCCAGTGTAGTGCAGGCAAGAGAGACCATTTAAAATGTACTCACTGATATGCTCCAAATCTGCATTCCATCAGTGTATCCAATCATCAAGCAGAGAGGCGGGTCAGTGCCGCTGCCGTGCATCTCTTGGAACTCTGGTAAGCGAGCCACATCTGGACACAGGGCAAGAAACACAAGTTGTAGGAAATGACACAGAAGTACAACAAATAATTCACAAAGCAAGTAATTCACAAAGGCTTGACGTAAGTTGTAAACAGCTCAATAAACAAACAAGACGCAAATGATCAGAACAATGGAACACATAAATAATGATTCAAAAGTTGGCAAAATATAGCACCTTTCTGATCGCCACTGTTTTTAATCTTCTGACAAAAAGAAAGTGTAAAAAAAAGACCATGGCTATCAATACAAGTGCCAATACAACTGGAAAATTAGGAAAGTTATGTCTAATCTTCTGACAGTCATCTCATCCCCTCATGACATGTTTGCTGGATTGAGGAGCATGGTCAGCATTTAGATGATCCAACGTTGGTGCAACCAAAAACTTTGCTAACCCAATATGACCAGCCCCAAACCACATTTGGGGGGGGGAATAAAATAAAAAAGTTTTATTACATGATTTCTGAAGGAACATGAAGGAGTGATGGCTGCTGAAAATTCAGCGTTGCCATCACAGGAATAAATTACATTTTAAAATATATTAAAATTAAAAAAAAACATACAGCGTGACCAATGTGGTGTAGTCAAATTTACAAAAAATATATATATATTTATGTGCCAGTTTTTTTTTTTTTTAGCTTTTTAGTGAACCAAAAACATGCAGCATGACCAATATGATATAGTCTGACTAACAAACAAATGATTCATATGAGCTGGTCCTTTTAGTGAATCAAAACATGCAACACAAACTTACCATTGATGTCTGTTTTTTCAAAACGGACCCAAACTATCTTCTCTTTTTCATCATTTGGAGGTGTCCCAGTATATGCCTGAAAATTCAAAATTAATACAGGCTAGATATTTTCTAACTAAATTGTTTTTTCTAACTAAATTGTTCTTGCTCTCACTATCACTTATATGTCTAAAAAGAGTCTTTCATAGGCTCTCAACATTTTTACAACAGAAATACATTGAAAATTAAACATTATCCAACACCGACTTTAAATTACAACACGCATAAAAAAGTGAATCTCCAGTTTTGTACACAAAATTACAAGCAAAATTTAAAGGAAAAACATTTACCTGAGGGACTACATCCTGCAAGAACGTAACTACGCTCTCCATGTATGACTGCTCTCTGCAAAACAGTAAAAACAATTCTCATGAAAATAATATAACCACACAAGAAGAGACCTGACCATTTAAACCTAAAAGCTTGAGCAGCAATGCAATATTTTATCACCCTTTTGTTTATTAGGACCAACATCTTAACATTTACAGTACTGATCACTGAATTGGCTTTACAACTGTAATTTCATTCACAAATTAGCCATTATGGTCTTACGTTGCAGCCTGTGCTCGAACCACAACCCCACCAGCACAGCGGCTCGGTCTGCGCGGGGAGTCAGACGCCATGGCCAACCACTCAGGATCCTGTTAGAGCAGAGCATGAGAAGATAGAGTCATGATTTTCACATGATCATCATTACAATAAACATTACTGCAGAGATGCCTCATTGATCATTCTGATCTCAGTATTACTCTAAATTCAACAGAAATAATAGGCTACAAATGAAATCTGCACCACTACAGATCATCCACCTTGCAGATGGATGTAAACAAATCAGGCACAGATGTGCCTGGCTCAGTTAAATCTGCACAACAGACCCATTCCTATTAAGTATTGATCCTGTAAACGATCTATAATACAAACTTGTTACGACAAGCGAGATAAACAAAAGAAAATACTTCAATCAACTCCAGCAATATTTACTAGTAACCAAACTATAGGATGTAAATACCTTTATTACCGTCATAATAATGTAAGTAGCTTTTCATTTCTTTACATTTTACCATAAATTTACCATAATTTAATCCAAGACAATGTCCAAAGAGATGTCAAGAGTGTGTCAGAGAAAACACAGCAGTGAGTTTAGTCAGTTCAACATTTCATCATATCAACTTGATCATCTCCAGTCTGTTAGCTTAGCCAATACCGCTATCTGCCATTTCAACGCTTCAAAGACAATAAACTGAGTAATGACAAGAACTTTTCTCACTTTCTGAAAGAAATATATATGTAATGTATGTAAGAAATGTGCAGTTGAATGTTTAACGATGCGACATTTGTACTAACCAGAGGTTTTGTGTTTTGAATTCGGATCAACAGAGGTCCTCACAAAACGCCACAGTGAAGCTGACATGCAGCGGAAACAACAGATGCCTTGGCCAATCAGAGATGAGCGTCGGAGGCAGATAGCCAATAGTGTTAGGACAAAGGTGGGCACTTGGACCTTTCTGACCAATAGTGGATGGCAGGGACTGTTTGGGTTTGTTTGTTCGCTGAACGAATCTGACGCGTTGTTAAAATTAACATTAACATCGTGATGAAGTGTTATATAAAGCAATATTTATTTGGTTCACACTCATATGAGCATCTCCGCATTTGAAAATTTGCACAACGGCCTGGATAAACGCGCATGTTACATCACGTCACGCTGATGTGTTTATTTACATCGAAGTATCGCGTGATGATCACCAACCGAGCTACTTCGCAGAGCCTCGGCTTCTTTCGGAAAAAAACGAAGTTTTAGACACAGGAAAACTATGAAGGGATGTATAATGGTTATCTTCGAAGGATGTCTTGAAATTATTTAAACTAGTTATATTAAGATAACAAATTGAAGTCCTATTTCTTGTTTTAATTTGTCCCTATAACAACTTCCAATATTTTTATTAAAGAGCATAGTTTTTATTGTAAAATTTTTATTGACCTGTTTAGCATAGCAGCACCTTCAGTTTAGAATGACAATTTCTCCCATCATAAGAAAAAAAACAATGTTAATGAAATCCTTGGAAACATTAAAATAACCATAATGCTTAAAATCCAAAATGCATAATTCATAAAGTTCATGCCTGCATACAATGTTAGCATTAAACCTTATGACACAGGGTTAAGATACCAGTGAACACTAGAAATGATGAAACATTCTCCTTGTTCAGTAAAACAATAACATTGATCCCAAAAAGATTAAATATAACAGGTGACATGTAAGCTGCAGGGAAATATCTTCTCAGAAGATAGAATTTCTTTCTTTTTCTTTTTCCCCACAATCCTCCAATTTTCCACAAAGACTGCACAAATTCAACTTAAAGTGCAAAAATCCCTATTTGATCCATCATATCTACCTGACTGACCTGAAGCATAACAGAACTGAGCAGTGGACACACAATGGAGGAAAAACTAAAACTCATTTAAAAATCAAACATTTTCATTAGTCTGCAAAATATAAAGTATAACAACATAACACTAACATAAACTAAAACTTGAGTGTCGTGAATGGAAGCGAGTGATATTTTTTTTCTTTTGACATTTGCTACTTGCTTCAGGATTTGGTTTCTCAGTAGCTTATATAGGGTGACCATACGTGCCATTTTCCCAGGACGCATCCTGGCCAGGTGTTCTATATTGCCTAAAATATCTAGGGTTTGGCTTTGTTTGCGTGTGCAGACCGATCGGTGCTTAGGCAATATAGAAATCCTGGCCAGGACGCGTCCTGGGAAAATGGCACGTATGGTCACCCTAGCTTATATCAACTAATATCAGAGTCTGACTGTCCAGCATGAATGTACAGATTGCATTGTTATAGGACCATGAATGTCAGAAAACACATACAGTAGTCTTCCCATGCTGCTGAAGCAGCGCTTGGACATTTTCAGACTGTTTCTGACCATTGCCGCCACCACCACTCCTCGCCGAGGACTGTGCGCTCGGTATCTTTGAGGATAAACATGAGGACTCTTTAAGAGGGGACTGGGACAAACTACGACGGGGTTTCTTCAGCACAGGTGAGGAGGAGTCCTCTAGCACCCGCTTGCCTGTAGGCAATCTGTCACAATGGGCCTCATTTTCCAATGAGTCATTACAAGGCAGGTCTTCAGAGTTTGTAAGGCTATCGGGAGATGATTCAAATATCATGCTTGTCTCACAGCTGCCATTATGCTGCTCTGGGATTGGCTGTACTTGAACGTCAGGAACCTAAAAAAAGAAGGAACTATATATGAAGCTTGAGCGTGGTGTTATTTTGAATCAAAATCCACAATATAATACAAAAGAAAAACAACTGCCTTTTAAAATGAAGCAGGCCTTAATTAATTAAATGTTTACTGGTGTTGTATTGTTAAAAGAACAGTTCACCCCAAAAAAGACAAATTGCAGAAAATGTTCTCAACCTTAGGCCACCCAAGATGAAGATGAGATTGTTTGTTCATTGGAACGGATTTGAATAAATTCAGCATTACATCGCCTGTTCACCAATGGATCCTATACAGTGAATGGGTGCCGTGAGAATAAGTCCAAACAGCTGATTAAAACATCATAATAATCTACAAGCTGTGTGTTTATAATTAACAAAACCATAATTTTTTTTTTAATTCAAAGAATTGCTTTCAGCTAAAATACAAATCCTCTATTCATAATATAGATTTCTCCAGTGAAAATGTTGTCTTGTCTAAATCAGGAGAGAAATATACAGATCAAGCACTGTTAACAACTGAAAATAGTCCAAAACAGTTTTAAACAAATATGTCAGTGGATTTTGATGTGAGAGGACAACAGAGGATAGATGTTTTCCACTGGAGTAAGCGTTATTATGGATTATAGACTGGTATTTGTGCCAGAACCAACAGTTTAAAGTGAAAACGCCTTATTGATGGATTTGTTTCTTATAAACACACAGCTTTTCACTTCCGAAGACGTCAATTGGTGAACAGTCTGTTGTGGATTACTGTGGTGTTTTTATCAGCTGTTTGGACTCTCATTCTGACAGCACCCATTCACTGCATTGGATCCACTGGTGACCAAGTGATGTACTGCTATATTTATCCAAATATATCCCGATGATGAATCAAACTTCTACATCTTGGATAGCCTGGTGTGACTAAATTTTCAGCAAATTTTCATTTTTGGGTCTACTATGCCTTAAAATAGAAAATCTAAAACATTCCTAACCTGAGTGGGCAAAGAGTTGGTGCAAGATTTAGGAACGGAGCCACACTTTGGTCCTTGTAGATTATACACAGTCTCGTAAGGTGGCAAACACTCAGCGGATGTCCCGAACGGCTCCAAACAGATAACAATGGCACTGGTATTATCAGCACGGAGCATCCGTTGACGCCATCTCAGTAAGGCATGGTTTACGAGCAGAACAGCATTTGAAACATTTTCCCTTTGGTTCTTTGCCTGTTGGAATAAACATTTAGATAAGCAAACGTTTCGAAAACACAATTAAGACCTTTCCTGAAGCATACATTTAAATTATTCACCTTGGCATAGTCATTTTCCTGGCAAATAGACACAGCCTCCTGTGGTGATACCATGTTCCATAACCCATCACTGCCTAAGATGACGTAACGGTGCTGCTTCAAATTCAGCTTGATAACAGCGGTATCAGGCTCTGGTGACACTACAAACTCTCCGCTGTAGAAGTCGTAACTCCACAGGTCACCTGAAGACACATTCATGTGCATTAAATTATAACATTTTACATACCAGTGAAATCTCACTGTTTGCTCAGTCAGGAGCAGTGACTGATTCTCTCTTTTTATTATGTTGCTTGATTAAGATTTAGGACACATACAGCAGCATGTTGACATAATTTTACATGTATTTGTCCATTCAAACATGATAAAATGACAATTCCGTCAACTGTCCTGAGTGTCTTTCTCACACTGTTGAGCCCTGGCAACTCAGTTTAAACACCTAAACAGCCTATGTTGCAATTCAACATTCTGTTTGTCATTGCTAAAGAACAGAGAATATCATGGTGGTGTGTTGCAATTTGCAAAACAACAGACAATCTCAGCGGACTTGTTGGATGTGTTGAAACGCACTCAACATTCTAATCACTGTTTTCCCAATAATAACAGCAACAATGACCTCATGTAATGAAATAGCATAACCCACTTACCAAGAGCTCGGGCCACAGCCAAAAATGGGATCTGATCGATGACGGTGCTCCTTCTTACTGGTCCATTGTGTGTGAGTCTGGGTCTCTTCCACACCACCCTATTGACTCCAGACTTTTTAATGACACTAGAGGAAAGATGTGACAGTGATCAGTGCTGGGTCTCATCATAGTAAAAGTTTAATGCACAAAAAAACTGCTGACCAAAAAGTAGGGCTGCACGATAAATCGAAATGGAATCGAAATCGCGATTCGACAGAAGCTGCGATTGTCATGCGTATCTTTCAGTGAAGCACGGTTCTGTGATCAGCAGTAATTCTCCATCCAAAGGCCAGAGGGCGCTCTCGTGCTGAAACTCCAAATACACCTAGCAGAAGAAACCCAGGAAATGCCTATCGCTGCAGCTGAATAAACAGAAGATTCAACTGCTTTTATTGATTCAACGTGACTAATAAACACACGATTATGACAATGGTATTGTTTATCTGAGTTATTATTATTATAATTTTCATTAAAATAAAGTATATTTATAATGCAATGCCTTTATCACTGCTTAAATACTATGAAATATGTTGCGTGCCTTATTCTGTGTAAGAAGCCACATCATCTCACAGAAGGATTTATTTCAAACACTCGACTGATGTTATGAACTGAGTTTGGAGTAAAAATATGTTATTAAATGTGGTATTTTCACATGCTTTCAGATGGAGCAGCATTTACTACACAGAGCCGTAGTTCACTGAGAAGCTATACAAACAGTTGTCATTATCGTGATTTTTTTGCGTAACTTGTCAGTGAACTACGGCTATGTGTAGTAAATGCTGCTCCCATCTGAAAGCACATGATGATGATTTACTGCTGATTACATAACCGGCATTACTAACAAAATGCACATGACAATCGCATTCGATTAATCGGCCAAAGAGTCTTGTACCTCTACCTAAAACTAAGTCTGAAAACTTATTCACTAGAGTTTAAACCTTGCCCTAAGCCAAACATTTCAAGGGGCAAGACAATGATACAGGCCATTGGATGCTGGTCTGTATCATATTGACATGCTTTTTATGTTCTTTTAGGCTAAACGACAAAGAAAGCTTGTGTTTAGGTTATGATAATGAGGCTCTGGCTACAGCCAATTGTTATTGACTTACATTTCAAAATAAAACTTTATAAATGTAACAGAAACGGGTAACGTTTTGTGTTTTCCTAATCAGTGTTGACTAGAGGTCGACTGATGTATCGGTTTTGCCGATTAATCGGCACCGATAGTTTTTTGCTGGAACCATCGGTTATCAGCAAAAATCCATGCCGATAGTTTTCCGGGTTGCGTCCATTGCTGGAGCGGCTGAGAAGGGTCTGCTGTCATTACACTCGAGTTGAACGCGACGCGTCCGGAGTGTGTGTGACACCGGTGAGTTCTCCTAGACTCAGCGCTGCGCTTTTATTTTGATTAGATAATCATCAAGTGTTCAAGAATAGAAGAAGTTAAAGTGTGAGAGTATACATAAAATATCCATATGTACATAATTTTAATGCTATTGCCTTTGTGTATATATTTAAAGATGTGCATCTTTAAGCATGACTGTTGAAATGAAATGGTAACACTTTAAAATAAGAGTCCATTTGTAACATTAAGATTAATGAAAGCTGTGTAATGAAAGTATTGTTCCTTCTTAGAGTGTGTTAATTACAAAATTTTTATTATTACTACTACTACTACTACTACTAGTAGTAGTAGTAGTAGTAGTAGTAGTAGTAGTATGGTTCAGTACTGTTTTTTTAATAAAGCATTATTTTAGTTTTTGTTCAGTATCCATTTAAAAAACTATTGGTTAATTAATCGGTATCGGCCAGTGTGGTCCAACCTAGCTATCGGTATCGGCAAAATCCACTATCGGTCGACCTCTAGTGTTGACAAAATAAAAGAATGAGGATGGTTACTTGTGAAGGTTAACCAAAAAAGCAGATAACAAGAAAGTCTACAATCAAATTGCAAAATAAGCTCATCCAGCTGCGTCGCTAGCACATGCCTCCACATATTGTTTACCAAAAGCAGAAGGTACCAAGAGTGTGTGAATACAGTTTGTTAACATTAGTTGTGTGTAAGCTTACTTGTTTTATTAGAACAACTCACCTGCCACCAAGCCCCTCTATTCTCTCCCTTTCCTTTGGGAGTTCAGGTTTGTGGTCCTGTGTAATTTCTACAGTTCGAATGAACTCGTCAGAGGGGTGATCCTGCACCCCCAACACCACCGCCGAGTCCCCAACATGGGCAACATACATACGATCACGTCGTATTACAACAATACTTGCAGTTGTACCAGAAGTGCTGGGAAGTCCTGTAACCGTCTTTGGCCATTCCGCTAAAAGAAAGCAGATTATAAAGTTTTCAAAAACAGATCAGGGGATGAATTACTCTTTCTGTTTAAAATGGATGTTTCACACAAAAATACAAATTGTGTTATACATGTGGAAGAAAAAAGCTAATATTTGGCAAAATGTCCAATTTGTTTTTTCTTTCTTTGCAATGAAAGTGCATGAAGTCCAAGGATACAATACATTCTGCTTGAACTTTCTTTCATGCAAGAAAGTCCTAGAGGTCTGAAATGAAGGTGAATAAATTAAAAACATGCTTTTAATGCAGAATCAGTGAGATACTGCTGAGTTTTACAATTGGTCAAAAGAATTTAGGTCATACACTACTCAGCTAGTCCTAACTTGATCTCCAATGCTATATTGTGCCTATAATAAATACATTGCATTTGTTGTTTGTTTTGGTTTATGCTAATATGTATTTAATAAGTTAAAGGGGCCATATGATGCTGCTAAAAAGAACATTATTTTGTGTATTTGGTGTAATGAAATGTGTTTATGTGGTTTAAAGTTAAAAAAAGCACATTATTTTCCACATACTGTACATTATTGTTTCCGGCGTGAGCTGAGGCGGCGGGCAGGCGTGAGCTGAGGCGGCGGGCAGGCGTGAGCTGAGCTGAGCAGCACTAAGTTGATGTATTTCCTCAGCGACCAGCACAGATCAGCTCTAGGCATGACGAAGCGGATATCGTCCTCTTTTGGAAGACCAAACAAAGTAGTTTCGCTTTCACAACGCAGCACACAGCGTCTTCACGACATGGCGGCAGCAACAATACTACAGCGAGAATAAAAGTTATGCCTTCTTTCTTTGCGTGAACATTTGGGCGGTGTTATGCAAATCTTCCCACATAGTGACGTAGATATGTGGGGGCGTGTTAGAACGAGCCGTTTTAGGTAGGTGTGGTTAACTCTTAACTTTTATAAAGAATATCTCTTTGGATTTGAGACTTTAGTCTTTGCAACTTTACAGATCTTCTTTATGCACCAGGAGCTTGTAACACTCCAAAGAGAAAGGAAAAATTGAAATCGCATCATATGACCCCTTTAACACATTATTGTTTGTTGTAGGTACTCAGTTAATTGCACGACCATGAAGTCATGTTGTCACACTCCACAAGGGGGCTACCCGCTCTGTGTAGAAAACAGCTTATTTTAGAAGAATGACAAAACTTACTATTCCTCTCATGTGAATTTACATAGGTTTAAAATGTATATCTCTTTAAAATATCGTTAATTTATTTGAAAGAAAAACTTTTTAATTAGCAAAAAAATGACTAGGTGCGCCTTTAAGCAAACCAACTCAGTTTGCAGGTGTCTAAGGTGTTGAGCTGTTATTTCTGTAAGCAAATCATTATTCTGATCTGATGTGCTGTCACTCTAGTTCAGATATGTATTAGTTGTTTGGTGTGGCCTGCAGTGGGTGTTCAACTTCTTTTGGCGGGATGCATCTGATGTTGCAACCTTCATTCAAAAAGATCAGCTGTCCTTTTCCATTGCACGTCCATAAAATGGCAGAGACTTCACAGCAGTGTTAAAGGAGAACGTATATATGTAACGTTCCATTTCATAACTTACGTAATTTCTTCCACATGGCATGGTGACAAGAGATGAATCCCTTTCGCAGAGCCGCGCACACCTCGTCGTCGTCCTCAGACCAAAAGCCTCTTTGTTTTTTAATGTGGTCCCACAAATGGCTGCGAGCAAAGCGCGCGGCGTCCGGACCCCCGTGTCCGTCGAACACGGCGAACATAGCCACCGCCCGCGGCCGACGGGCGTTTTTGGACGGGTGAGAGGAGAGCATCGACGCCTGCTGTAGAGTAGAGCTTGGTTCATCATCTTGAACATAAGTTACAGTGATAGATCCGGGGATGGAGTCTTGGATCGAAGCGTCGGGGTTTTGGTCTTTTGCTGGTGCCGCGATCTCGCCACGTTCGGCGGCGTCCAGTTCATCTTCACTCGGCTCATCCTCCTGCTTCATCGTCACTAAGTCCTCCATGTATTTCCTACCGCCTTGGTCATAATAAATACTAGCTCGACATGAAAATATCCCATCCATATTTTGATCGGACAGAAAGGCCGGTAGAATAGCAGTGTTTAATGTTTAGGCAGGACTGAGGCCGGGCGCGCTTTCCTTTTTGTTTACCTTCGATGTTGTGAGCATGCGCAGAAGCACCATGACAGGGGTCAGTGGAAGCCCTAGGTTATTTGACCCTTGATTTGATTGAGAAGAGTCCTTGAGATAGCCATAGCATAATAGAATTATAAAAACATTAACTCATATGATAATAAACTAGCTAGCTAGCTATCTATCTATCTATCTATCTATCTTAAAGTTAGTAAATATAGTAAGGAAAAGCATGTAACATTGTATCATCACATCACACGCATCTTTATTTATGGAATGTTTATTTCATTTCTTTATCTCATTGTAATCCAGCGTCTGTATTACAGTAGTTTTGACAATATAGTAACTAATATGGTTTTGTTTTGACTGTTCACATGGTTGAAGGAAAATGGGATATATATATATATGTATATTTTTTCTTGTTTTATTTAGAGCTTTGTTTATATATAAAATGACTGCATTTAAGCATACTACTCTGTAAATACATTTACATATGTTAGTTTTGATTGCTTCTATTGTCCTCATTTGTAAGTCGCTTTGGATGAAAGTGTCTGCTAAATAACTAAATGTAATATAAGGGCATGCTTTAGATGTATACACGACTAGGCTACTAGAAAATATTATTATACATAATCTATATAATTGTATATCTGTACAAGCCATTATTTTATTTTAAGGTACAGCATTGAAGGAGTCTTTGACCTTGTGCTTATTTGTCTCCAAAGCAGTTTCCTATAGTAGTGAATCTTGAAAATCAAGAAAGACATCCAGACAGCTTATTGTGAACTGTCTAGTGAAAGTGTGTGCAGTAATTTTAGTGGACTCATTCTAGAGTAGACAGGCAGATAGAGCAGATAGAATTCTTACATGTAAAGCGGTGTCCAGCAGATGGTGCTTTAAGCCTAAAAGATACAATGCACCATGATCTGATTTTATATTGTTAGAGTATTTATGAGACTTTTATTAGTAAGTCTATGAAAGTGTAGATTTATTGACTTACTTATACCCTTTCTTTTGTTTTGTTTTTAATTATTTTCTCTTTGAACGTCCAAGCTGTGTGTGGCAAATACAATTGGTCAAATCCCAAACTAAATAACATTTATTTTGAAATTCCGTCTACTTTGATGCTCACAACCGTTCCGGAAGTGGAAGCTGTTGTCAACGGAAGTAGATTGAGTGATAGTCGGTCTCCGTTGATCGAGTGCACCTTACAAGCCACATTTAGGGGCGCTGCACTTGCCCAGAGGTAAACAGTGTGACGTTTTAAAGCTTTGAAACATTTATTTATTTGTCTATATTTCACAGACATTCATTGAATGTCTATATTTCATTTGAACTGCCTTTTTGTTTCACTTAACAAATCAAAAAGCTACGTGAGCTCGTCTCAGGAATTGGGCTCAAAGACTCTTGGCAGCTTCTTTGATGAAATTGATACATCGTAGTAGTCCTCACACTCGTTTCAGAGACATAATTTATTGTAAACACGCTCTGGCAATGTATTCAAACTTTTGTCTCCCTTGTTCATAGTGTTGTGTTCTCACTAATACGCGTATGCAGAGCTTTATATAGTCTGTTCATAAGAGGGTTTATAATGATGCCAACCTCTCCTATTGTGTGTTTTGAATAGTTCTGGTCGTGTGATCAAGCATGCAATTACATTGAGGAGGAAAAATGTTTTTGCTCTCATTGCATTCTTGTCTCCTCTCGTTTAGGTTCAGGGATTTCTTCAGCTCTCCACCTTTTGCTTTAGGACAGGCTTCCAGCCATGGTGAGGCTCGCTATCATCATTCTGTTATGATTCATCATGTCAAGATGAAAAAAAACTGGGGGGTCCAGATATATAAAATGTTTTGTACATTTCAGATACCTTGTATGGGGAATGGTGTTCATTTTATGTTAAATATTATCATTTAGCATTCCTAGACTAATTGTTACCAGACCAAGAGGTCAGATCTGGTCTAAGTTTGTTCAACATGTAGACCAAAGGTGTTAAAACTGTAATATAATCAGTGTTCTTTTTCACCTGTCACTGTTTTTCTCTTTTGGTCAGTCTGCTGTGGTGGATCTAAAGACTAAGGAGGAGAAAGACGCAGAGCTGGACAAAAGAATTGAAGCTCTACGGAAGAAGAATGAGGCTTTGGTCAAGAGATATCAGGTGTATTTGAGTGCCGAATTCTGATCCACTGCTGCCACTCTGCCAGTTTGTTTATTTGGTGTACCGCTAGTAATTTAATTTGATTTGAAGTATTATTCATTGTACAGGGATTCAGTCCTTGAGATGTTCAGATTCAAGGCTTTTATCTTGGTCAGTTTTATTAATTCATTCAGTTTGCTTGTCTTCTCTTGTGTCACCAGGAAATACAGGAAGATAAGAAAAAGGCTGAACAGGAGGGCATCGCTGTGACAACAACTCGCAAACCCCGCCCTCATGAGCCTGAGTCTGAACGGAGAAAGATGGAAACGGAAAACTTCACAGTGACAGCTGACTTGTCCAAACCTGCTGGGGTAAAAACAGATGGTAGAATAGAATGGAATTTTCATAGAATGGCCATTTACCATAATAATCCATTATATGGCACTATATTATACATTATATGCAAAAAATGGAATGTCTTAAATATCAGGTGTGGTCTCTCTTGTGCAGAAACCCTTTAGAAATACCGTTTTAATTGTTTTACAGGGTCAATTTTACCTTTATAAGATATTATTTCCCCCTAACCTTATTAAATGTGTGCAATGTGCATCATCTATTATGTCAGATTCTTATATTTAATTTATAAATTCCCTTAGGATAATAAGAAACTATAGGGCTGTTACCATGTAAATAAAATCAGTGTCAACAAAATTCTTGTTTGCAATGCAGAGGTGGCATGGAAGCTGGAAGTGGCATTTCGATATACTTTCACAGACTGTTTAAAGGGGTGGTTCATTGCGATTTCACTTTTTTAACGTTAGTTAGTGTGTAATGTTGCTGTTTGAGCATAAACAATATCTGCAAAGTTACGAAGCTGAAAGTTCAATGCAAACGGAAACACAATCAAGCCTAGAAAAAACCCAGTGAACCACCCCTTTAATGCAGCTCAGAGGTGGCATTAATGCATCTACACTGCAATTGTAATTACATAATGCTATGAGATCTTAAATATTGAAATATGAATAACTGGAAATAAAACTGCCAGTAATGTTATCATAGACAATACATATTGCACACCCCTACAAAGAACAGTTATATTTGTCTTCACAGCCATAGAGTCCATAGTTTGTTAGATACTTTTTGCTCTTGCTGTAAATGTAAATATTTAATATTAATAAGTATATACTATGTTTCTTAACTCAAGTTTGATTTTGAATCATCTCAGACCGCTAATGATTTGCATCAGCTCCAATATAGAACAAGAGCATGTAGAAGTTAATTAGCACTCCCATTCCTCACAGCTCTTGAGGATTTTAATTTCCCACCTGGGGAAGGATGAGACAAGCTGTAGAGCATTTTAATCAATACCTGTAGAGTTTCAGTGGATCACAGATGGCCCGCGCAGCTGTGATAGACCCACCTATCGTGGTCTGTGAAGGTCATGCCTTTCAGTAACTGCAAAGTGAGGACTTTTTCTTCAAATATACCTGTTGAACTAGACAGATGGGCATTGCACTTTTAAAGAATGCGATTTCCAGTTTAAAAAAAAAGTAGGTATGGTTACATGTCTAATGCAGTGTTGTTATTGTTAACCAAAACTATTAAAGATGTTTCTTGTTGATTTATATAAAGAAAAACATATAACTTGTCTTGAACTTAAAAATAAACTGGAAATGTTGCCTTGGGAACAGAACGAAATAAAATAAGTTTACGTACTTACAATTACTACTTTAACTGAAGTAAAAATAAATAGAAGCTAAATATTAATAATAAAACTAATAAAAATGACAAAAGCACATCAAATTTCTAAACTCTGAATTCTTAAACTAAAATGAAAACTGAACATATAAAAATAGACTAATAAATTAAATACTCTATACTAAGATTAATAAATACTCTATACTAAAATTACATTGGTCTTACGAACTAAAACATTTTTTACTCTTGGACTAAAAACCTCTTAAACTTCATATTGCCTTTCTAGGAAAAGCGTGTGGTGAATGACAGGAAACCAGCTGCTCATCGTGGTGACCAGGGCCCAGAAGAAGAAGAGTCTGGTCGGCCTCATGGTGAGAGTCCCCCGCACAGAACCGGATCGGGTCGGCTGAGCAGAGGTGGCCACCGCGGTGGAAGAAGAGAGCCTCGTTCAAACAAAGGCGAACCATGGTCGGAAAGGCAAACTCAGGATGATGAAGGTGGAGAGGGTCCAGCTCGAAGTGAACGCTCCTCTAGAGGAGGGCAGAGAGGAGGAAGAGGTGGAGGTGGAACTCAAGGAGGATCAGGCTCGGACAGGAAATCAAAGGTTACTATTGACGGTCACCAGTGACCTTTTCTAATCATTTTGTAATTGAGATATTGTAGAATATAGTTGTGGTGGTACATTAATTTACTTACAAAGTCATTTGTAGGTGTGTATTAGGGCTGCACGATTAATCAAATGCGATTGTCATGCGCATTTTGTTAAAAAAGCCGGTTCTGTAATCAGCAAGAAATCATCATCACGTGCTTTCAGATGGAGCAGCATTTACTACACATAGCCGTAGTTCACTGACAAGTTACGCAAAAAAAATCGCAGACAATTTTATTGCGTGATTCTGAAATCGAAGAAATCGTTCGTGATAATAACAGCCGTTTGCATAGCTTCTCAGTGAACTACGGCTCTGTGAAGTAAATGCTGCTCCATCTGAAAGCATGTGAAAATACCACATATATTGCCATAGTCGTGTGTTTATTAGTCACGTTGAATCAATAAAAAGCAGTTGAATATTCTGTTTGTTCAGCTGCAGCCATAGGCATTTCCTGGGTTTCTTCTGTGTGGCATATTTGGAGTTTCAGCGCGAGAGCGCCCTCTGGTCTTTGGATGGAGATTTACTGCTGATCACAGAACCGTGCTTCACTGAAAGATACACATGACAATCGCAGCTTCTGTCGAATCGCAATCTCAATTCCATTTCGA